CAAATGCTCATATTGCTTAGCTCGTCGTTGTCTGGTTCACCAGAAACGTCTAATGTGCCATCCACCGTGAATCAGCCTGTATAATACTCCTAAATGTTTCACAATTATTTCATTAGTGTTGATTTTTCCGATCTCTGAGTAGGCTTTGGATTGATGGGTAGTTTTCCTCCGTTTTTGACATCTTATCATCCTAATCAACCAATCATCCTAATTGAACACTGTTTCATGATTCACTTTTTTTCAATAACGATCACACAGCTTATATTGCCTGCATGTCTTATTAGCATTAATTATTTAGGCATAAATGCTCCGATGAAATATCGTTTCACTTACTTTGTATATTCAAAGATATCCAAATAATTCTCGTCGCCACTTATAGAATACTAAATGGGAAACAATAAATGAATACAACCTTACAGTAAATCCTAATGGTATGCATACACTAGAAATTTTATCATTTTCGCCCACCTTTTTTTAAAAAGTATTAATAACAATTCACATTAGTTACTCTTCACCTATAAAAAATATCTTTCAGCACAAGCAAATCACCAATTAAGAATGAACAAACAAAACTGTTGATTCAATATTATGGTTACGTTATTTCTGCACTGTTAGTGAATTTGATATCATACTTGCGTGCGATAAAGTCGAATATGCTTTCACGGGGGAAGCACCGAGCATTTTAACGTCCATTTGAATCATTGCCAATGGAATTACACAAACACAACAATCAGTTTGTGGCAATTTTTAACACACAAATAACTATGAAACCGTAAAACACTTATGGACTTTGAAAAAAATTGTTAATGTAGCAATACAGATTTCTTCTGATCATCTGAAATTATGACATGCTACTATGCAATACTAGTTCGACACATGCGCATATGAATGCGGCAAAATGTGATTCATTAAATTTTAAAACAAGTATAGGCTTGTTCAAGACTTTTTATATCGTTCTTCTGCTGCTAGAAAAACTATTGATTTTATAATGTGATAGTGCTTTATAAAAAACAAGAAAATAAGATCTGACCATTTAGGTATACCGGGTATCAAAAAAGTGTATGATACAAATATACAGGGTAGTTTCTGGGATCAATTTTTTTTATTAAAAAGTATAAAAAGTAAAACCACGACGGCAAACCAATAGCTCTAATAAACTTTATATAACTCTTCGAAATGAAAGTTTCGTAGCCCGTAATTTTATGGTGGAATTGCGCATGTTTAATTTTTAAAACTAAAATATCTCGTGAACGGTTGATTTTTGATACAGGGAATGTTGCATGAACATGAGTCAAAATCATCTCGGAATTCCAAAACTATCCTGAAATATAGGTTGTGACATTTGAAAAACCTGAGTTTTGGCTCATTTTTGAATATTCAGACTTAGTCGTAGATTCCGAACACCTTATTTAACATTTTCAAAATGTTACTCCTACAAGAAGATGGAATGAAGTATTTTAATGAATCAATAATAATAGATGTATTATATCAAACTTTTGAATTTAATGGGGGAATCACCGAATACATAGTTTTCTTTTTGAGTAAAAAAATTAATATCTCGAACACATTCCTCTACGGAAACAAAACTCTTATACTCATTTAGATGAGGGTTTTTATTGGAACATTGAAAATGATAAGATAAGATAAGAATGTATTGGTCTTCATAATGCATAAGTACATAAGTACATAGTACATAAGTTGAAAATAACAGAAAAAGTATGTTTTGACACTTCAAATTTACACACTATTCAAATTCACATTTCAAATAAATGAGAAAACTAGCTACAAAGGTGCCATATCATTAAATTGTTGAACTTTCCAAACTGCGCCAAAGACATCATTTATTTTGTAAAATGATTGGCTTACAAATCTTGCTTGCTTGTTCAAATTTTGAAAAAGCCTATTTCGCTATTGAACAAATGAAAACAAATACAGAAGCTTAACATTTCCTATGATAAGAAATTCTCAAATAAGAACCTTAATATTATGGTGTGGGGTCGAACCAGAGAATTCTGAACAGTTTTGGTGTTTAAGAAGCGTTTAGTAAGATTGATTTTCAATTTAAATTTTAGAGGCAATTGTTGACCTATTCTCAAGGAAAATTAAATTCTATTCAATTCAAATATACTTTATTATCTGAAGAATAAATTCTTATTGACAAAGCCTTGTGTAAAATATAAATAACATATACATGAAATCACAAAAGTATCACAAAATAAAATCACTAAAAGTAAGTGATAACATGAACTGAAAAAAGACATGTAGGTAAATAATAATAACCCAATATAAACCTTCAGGATATAAGAACATGGCAATGAAATTAAATAAATCAATTCACACTAAATTGAATCAAATCAATAAAATACCATAGATGGCTTAGATATTACAGTTACTCTCAATTAAAATTATCATCATAGAATTCTGCTAAGCTATAATAAGGTCTCACAGAAAGCAAGTCTCTCAACTCTTTCTTAAGAGCTCTAAGTCATTTATGATTTTTATAGCTTGAGGAAGGTGATTGAATATTTCGAGACCGTTGTAAATAATGGAATCTTTAAGTGGGGTCGACGAAGGCAGCGGTAATTTAAAACTGAATATTTGCCTGGTTTGATACATTGGCTCGTCCAAGTTGTTAAACAATACCCTATTTTTGAAGAGAAGGCATATTGTCTCATATATAAATAAGGAGACCACAGTTAGGATTCTGTTAGAGGCAAAAAGAGGCTGACAAGAGTCCCTAGGCTTGGCTTTGCATATGCATCGTATTGCACGTTTTTGTATTAGTAATACTGGTTGAAGGCATGTTAGAACATACATTCCAAAAGCAAATACCATAACGAAGATGAGATTCAAAAACGGAATGATAAACCATCCTAGCTTCTGCAGATCCAAGCTCAAATGCTCATATTGCTTAGCTCGTATTGCATAACATCCAGAGGAGAGCTTCTATTTCAAAGTATCTACATGCTTGTTTAATTTTAATTTATTGTCGATGAACAAGCCAAGGAACTTATAAGTTGGTATGTTGCCAGTTTGAATATTATTAGATGTATGGCTGGAATCTGGCAACGATAGGACACTACTTTTGTTTTTGATAAATTCAAGATCAAACCAGTCTTTCACTTTCGTGATGTCATTCTCAATAACGTATGGTTGTTAGGAGCATGCCATAAAATTGTAGTATCATCAGCAAATAAAATGAATTTTCCTTGGATGTTGATGGACGATAAGTCATTAATGTAAATTAAGAATAAAAGTGGGCCCAGTACCGAACCTTGTGGGACGCCGCAAGTAATTTTACCTTCATTTGAGTATGAAGTGGTTTTGACCATCTGGGTGCCATCTGCTAAGTATGACTCAACCCACTTAAGATTTATTCCAGCTATACCGTATCTACTGAGTTTCCGTAAAAGAATTTTATGATTTACGCAATCAAATGCTTTGGCTATATCACAGAAGACCGCAGCCACTGTTTCTTCGTCATTTATGTTAGAATAAACATTGTAGAGAAATTAAAATATGTCATCGAAAGTGTTATTTTGTTTTTGGAAACCAAACTGGCAATCACTTATTATTTTGTTTTCATTCAGAAAGCAAAGGAGTCTTGTTTTGACTAATGTTTCTATTAATTTAGCCATTGCAGAGATTAGAGAAATTGGATGACGACTTGATGGACCATTGATGACTTCTCCCTTTGGCAGTGCTAACACAATCAACTTTTTCAAAAAAACTGGAAAGATTCCTTCTCTAAATGAATTATTTATCAGACCAACTAATATATCGAGTATTCTTATCGGAATATTTTCTAGGATTTTTATAGAGATTTCATCTGAGCCTGTGGAGTTTTTATTTTTAATGTCTACTATACGCTGTCTGTTTAAAAAATAAGGTAAATTTTCATTTTTCCTAAAAATATTCATATAGTCATCAATTTCTATTCTGTCCCCTTCAAAGTAGTCCCCCTCAGTAGTCCTCCAAAGCTGATATCTTTTTGTCCTTGAGTTTTCATCTCCTCAATCGTCGGAAAACGCCGTTCTTTCATGGGTCTCTTCAATCTTGAGAATAGGAAAAAGTCGCAGGGGGGCAAATCTGGTGAATACGGTGGCTGATGCATTATTATGGTGCTGTTCATTAACGTGTTGCAAAAGTCATTAATTGTGTTTTTCCACAACACCGGACGTTGCAAGCGGCGCATAACTTCAAGATGCAATACAAGATACTATCATCGTATGTCACTGTCAACATTTCAAGTGTTTTTCAGCACTCGATTCCATTTTTCACACAAAACTTGATACAAATTCTTTTAACAATTTTTTTCAATAGCACAAAACCGTCGAACACGCAAAACACTTAGCTTTTATTCCTCTCACCAATAAACTAACCAGCTGAAACTGTGACTATATGTTCTAGACGAGTGTACCAAATTTTTGGTACACTCTTTAATATTAACTATTTTCGTCATAAAAGTTTTTGAATAACCAAGGAGAAATATTAGAAATATACACATACAAAATATTCACATATAGTAAGAGGGCTTACTTGAAGATTGGCTGTAAATCAAATTATCTAAAAGTACTCTCCTGGCTAATACCGTTGAATTATATCCGACAGGTGTTTGTTGGTTACCTCGTTTACGTACAGATGGGGTAATGACAAATATGTTGTTTGTCGTTCTCTTCAGCCTTGTTCGAGGAATGCACTGCACTGACACCTGTCGGATATAATACAACGCATTTAGTGGTATTAGCCAGAGGAGTAGTTGTTTCCTGATAGGTGTTAGTCCATTAACCTACAGTATAGGTGAGTTGAAACTGGCCCTAATAAATTGTTCTTTTAGAAAATTCAATATTTAATATACAAAATATGAAACAACCTGTATATCGTACCATGCTCATGAGAAACTATGAGAAACCTAAAAAAAAATGTTACAAGAAACACAAAAATAATGAAATTACCATCATTTTTGCAGGATATTTATGACCTACAAATTAAAACACATTCTGTAGTCAATAATAAAAGAGAATCATTATTAACAATTGGCATAAAAAAGTTTTAAAATATACAATAAAAAATATCAAACTCTCACAAATCACATAATTTTTCAAACATTATGTTGAAACGTAATTTATGACCTTTCAAAATATGGGCAACCTGTTCTGGAAAGAAGAATATATCTTTTTCTCATTATGAATAGAAAAGTTTTTCGGAATTCAAGAAGAAATGTCAGAAACCTAAAAATATGATATTTAATATAGAGATAAATGGAAATAAATTGCAACCCTATAATTTGTTTTGTTTTGTTTATAAGAATAAACCATTTTATACCATTTGATTACTCAAAAAGGTGTTGAAAGTTCAAGCATATGATTGCACTGGCCTTTGTTTCAAGCTCGTGTTTAAGTTAAATAAATACCACATCACTGGGGGACTTTTTTTATCAGTTGGATTGTTTCTGTTACCACATCAGTCTAATAAAAATATTAATATTCTGAATTGAGATCTGAAATAATTATCTCTACCATTCACAGACAGTTCTAATCAAGACAGGGACTCGACTGACTGCACTGGAGCTCAACTGTATTTTCAAAACATTCGTCTACAACAAGATATGTTTTAACTATACTGATTTGGTGATCATCACCATTTGAGCAACTCTACAATAAAACTTTGCAGAATAATTCCTAGAAAAATTTCTTTTGATTGCCAGTTGGTGATTGCCACTTGCTCCAATTCAATGTTAATGTGCCACATTTGATAAATCAATGGAAGTAATTACCTTCATTCTCTTGCTGGGAACCAGGAACTATCTGTGCATTACCAATTTCTTCTGACCAGTCACTAGTTGCACTAGAACGGGCAGGTTTCATATCATATGATGATCTGTGAGTATTCTCAGCAGCATTCGTTTTAGGTGGTTTGGTTTCCTGTTCAGCTGTTGGTGGTAACTGAGTGTAATCTTTTGAATAATTAGGTTTTTTCGATCTCTTCTCTTTCTTACTTTTCTGCCTACTCTGATTATCATTATTACTCTTGATATCTTGGGAAGAATCCAACTTAACCGCTTCCAGTTTTTCTGGTAGTTCTTTCATTGTAACAGATGACGGAACCCCATGGAAAGTGTCGCTTTTCAAGATAGGATTCTCATCATGAACAGTGGGACTCTCATCATGAACAGTGGGATTCTCAACCTGAACAGTGGTATTCTCATAATGAACAGGGGGATTCTCCTTACCACCATTTCCGTCAATTTTCTGTTCTTTGCACGTTCCTACTGCATCGTTTTCTACAGCAGGTGCTGAATTGTTTCCAAATTCTCTTTTTTCATCGGCATCAAATGCTCTGAACTTTTTATTTCCTCTCTTTTTACCCATTTTAACCTAAAATGGAAATTTCTGCAATGAAAAGTCAATTATTTCGCTCAGAAACACGTACTAATTCAATGAATTTAAATGTCAGCAGATTTTCTTGAACTCGGGAGTGGACGATATATTGATGACGGGGAACCCCACGGCACTATCGAACATTATTTGGAAACGTAGTAACTACGTATTGACAGTATAACACAGAACATAGAACACTGTGTATTTCATAATCATTATGACAGTAGCGTAAATAATCAGACGGACAGTGTTGCCACCCGCGACCTAGAGTAGAAATTTCGAGTTGCAAAGTCGTAATTTTCAAGAAACGAATAATAAGAAAATTTGTCCCTTCTGCGCTTCCGCATAAAACAAATCACTTTAACATTACGCAACTTCCAACAAAAACCAAACTTTGCTTCCTACGACTTTCTTTTTTGTTTAGCAACTACCACATTTGGGTGTTCAAACCAATTTGCTATTGTTTTGTCACAATCTCTATTCGAGAAATGAGATTGACCAAACTTTCACACATGCTGATAGATGGTAGTACGTAGGATCCCTCCATTTTATAAAGAATCTAAAGTGTCGTAGATTGAAAGTTTTCGTCAAAATATTTTACCTAGAAAAGGATCCAGACCACACCATTTCCATGGTATTTCTATCCATTTTGGTCGAACCCTATAAAACGCTCAAAACTGTCAAATCCATAGTTTGAATTCCAATTTAAGTTCAAAACGAACCTATAAAATTGGCCGTGAATATGAAGATAATTGAATGAAACATGAATATAATGAAAACGACTTCCAAACAACACAGTGAATTAAACCTAAAATGGACAAAAAACATCAACTACTTAGCACAACTAAAACAAATACACAAAGTAGCCAACATAACTAATACCTATATTTCGAGAATATAAACGAGAATAGAGGCCTGAAAACGTAAAGATAAAGAAGTCAAAACCATAGTTTGAACTTCAATCAAAGTTCAAACCGAAGCTATAAAATTGGCCGTGAATATGAGGAAAATTGAATGGAACATGAAGATAATGAAAACGACTTCCAAACAGTACAGTGAATAAACGGTAAAATAGACAAAAAAATCAACTACTTAGACAACTAAAACGAATATACAGAGCAGCCACCATAACGAATACCTGTGTTCCAAATGAAAATAGTTACGGTATATTGTAACTTAGGCCTAAAAACATAAAGATATAGAAGAAGAAGTCAAAAATGTTGAATTGCATAGGTTCATGTTCATGGTTTGAAAATCGATTTTGAAATATTCAGCAAAAGAAATGAATTTTAACTTTTAGAACTCTTACCCTTCGTCGAAAATGTCTAGCTCACTGCATGGAGTTTATGCTCCCTTACCCCAATCTTTGAGCGATTCAGACTCTGAGAGAGAAGTAACCATGGATCCTATTTGTACAAATCATACCAATGGATTGAAATCTGCTGGTATTATTTTTTCTGGTCGACAAAACGGTCATATTCGTCTTAACAACATAAAGGACGACATTCATTGTGCCAAAACTCTAAATCTAAAAATGTCTGCATTGCGTAAAACAGCTTTCATATTTTCCATTATTTTATGTTTTTTGCCCATAGTTATTTTTCTATGGATCCTGCCATGTTCAGATAGTCTAACTTGCCCAAAGAAAATTTCTAACTGGGAAACAACGCGGGAAAATATAGAATTGCATGGTGTTATAAATTTGGTTCATGGTGCCTTCGAAAACAATTGGAACATAATTTTAATGTATGAGGGAAGCTTCAACAATCCGAGATCTATGAAAAACGGTATAATGTCATTCGCAGGCACCAATGGAGCTGTAGTATGGGATTTTCAACAGAAAAGCTTGCCTTCAGAAATCAATTGCACCATTCTTGATGTAAATGGGGATGGCTATAACGACTGCTTAGTGGTAGACGAGAGCGGATTGAAAGCCATTGAATCGACTATTGGGGAAGTCTTATGGCATGCTCATACCTCAGAGCAGACTTCCATACCAGAACTTGACATGCCTATAAAAATTAATGATTTCGATAAGGATGGAGTTGGTGACCTGCTGGCTGTATATAGAAAGGAGACTTCCCTAGTAATTTCCGGAAAAAACGGTCTTGCTATCGCCAACATAAGACTACCTTCAGGCTGCTCGTATATATCAAATTTGAGTTCTTCCAAAAATAGAGCTTATATTCAGTACAACTGCGGAAGGTATCAGAATTCAGAGATTGTTTATGAAATTTCTATGGTAGACTTGAGGGCAAAATTTGAGGGTTCTCAAAAACAGATACCATTTGAAACTGTTGATGATAAGGATAACAAAGTCTTTTATGTGACAGGTAAGAAAATTTCGAAATCCCACCGTTTTCCATAGCTCATTCCTATACCCTAACATTCAACTTGTGAAGTCATACATGTACTTGAGTTATTTTCAAAACAGTGTTTCATCAGTATGCCTAGTATTATATTTATATTCTGCTTTTGTGATTCAGTAAATATACTACTCTGAACTATTATATATGTAAATTTTGAAACAAAGAAAAACTAACCCAACAAAAAATGTGTCTACAGATGACCATAGTGATCATTAATAATTTTGCTTTCAGGTGATAGGAAATTGTTGGTTGAGAACCTGAATCATTGTCCGCATTGTGAAGGAGTGATATCCCTTTACAATACAAACAACACAAAGCTGTACACACAGTCTTTCAAGAATGCTGTAATAATGACTCCCGTACCATTTTCAGTTACTTCTAGCAAAGAGAACATTGTAAATCTGAAGGGTCACCTCCACGGATTCATTCTTAAAATCTGGCTCTGGCAGGATAACTCGAAAAAGTTGTCTCCATCGACACGAGTCTATAAGAGAAGTATTCCAGTCCACAATGAAACTTTCCATTTGAACCAAGTTTCGGAAAGGGTCGTGCTGATAACTCTTCGTGAAAATGACACCCAAGTAGAGAATGTGAGCGACAGTGATATCTACTTGATTTGCAATGGACCGGAGCATGATAACTGCCAGCCCGACCATAAAAACCAGCAGTATTCATTGATGATAGCTGACCTTGATCAAGACAGTTCCCTGGAGCTGGTAAGCTACTCAAGTACGTATGAACAAAGGGAAGAAGAAGGCTATGAAGCTTGGCACCTCATTTCCAAATTGAAAGTTTTCAGGTTAGAGAGTGAGTTGCCGAAGTTGTATGATAAAAATTAAGAATAAACATCTACTTAGTGTTAGAACAAAACTATTGATCCAGATCGAATGGCAATCTCATATATTTAATTATTTGTGATATACAGTTGAGTATGTCGAATATTCTAGTCAGATGAACATTTTTGAGATGAGTGAACAATGTGCTTTCCTTTCATTTACATCACCAATTTATGAAATTGTAGCCTGAGGCAACAAAATCAAAGGAGTTGAAGATCTCGGTAAATACATTGGATGTAAATCTGTCTTTATCTAAAGTCTAAAGGTACACAGATAACAAAGTGGTGTGGGTTTTTAGTATCTGTAGAATTCTGACAACCAGAAAAAAATGGAATAGAACATGCACAAATTTTTCGAATGGAATTACAATGACATACAATATATTTATTCCTTCAAATGTTCATTTCACAATGATATTGAATTCATCAGTAGCGAAACATATTAACTGTTTATAAAAAAAAAAATATATAAATTCAATACATAAGAGCAGGGGTCTCCAAACTACGGCCCGCGGGCCAAATCCGGCCCGCCAGTGTCATCAATCCGGCCCGCGACAGCCAGTGATTTACTGTCATCAATCTGGCCCGCGACAGCCAATGATTACCTAATTGTTGTTACTATTGCTGTGATAAGTTGAAGAAAACACAGAATGATAATTACTCGGTTTTATTTACTTGCAAGGTAAAACTTAACAACAGAAATGATGACAAAGAAAACTTAACTCAAGTATCTAAGTTGAAGCAAGGGCAGAAATTGGCCCTTGGAACAAACTGAAAAAATCATTATGGCCCGAAGGCTTCAAACTTTGAAGACCCCTGTATAAGAGAATGTTGAAAATTTGTAAAAAAATCATATTTTGTATCAGTTCATGAAAGAACCCTCGCCCAAATTCACGGATGACTTGCTTAACCGCAAGTTGTAAGGGTGGTGGTAGTTCTACTGACGGGGTATTGTAGGCTCATGAAAGATATGAGCATTGTGGGCCTGGCAGAAGAAACTTCGTGCGTGTGAGGCTGTAGCAAGGCTGAGGCGGAAATCAGAAACTAGAAGCTATAAGCTAAATAATGGAGCCAATATCAAGGCTTTGGAGTCCAATCAGAGAAATCAAGCTAGATGAGCTCTTTTAAACAAAGAGAATCACAATAGATCTGCAAAGGTAACAGTTAAACAAGCCACATGCAGCTCCCCTATCAATATAATCTAATCTATTTTTCTATATTTGATGTTCTATGTAAGTAAGTAAACTGGGAACGTTATTTTGAAAAACGACCGGCAGATATTTTTGTCTAGATTAATGTCCACTGTTTCTCTGTTTTATTGCTGCATTGTCTGAAGCTGAGGTCTCCATTATACTGATCCATTTTATTTGGAAGTATTTCTGAATGGATGGTGTAAAATGAGTAACCTTGAGTACTCCCTGATCTATTGATTCTTTTTTTCAGATTTGTACAGCTTAGCTGTCTAAGAATTTGGTCTGATCATTTCATTGAGGTTTCAATGTTTCTTATACACTGTCGGATTTTATTTATTTCTGCGTAGGAGAAATATGTGTATTAACTGACTGGGTAGCTGTGTCAGACACATGGAAGATTCTTATTTTGGCAAAGTTGCCATTTATGCACTTCTGGAGTTTTTCAAAATTATAACTAAAAAACAAGTATTTAAACATAAAATAAAACAACTACTTTTTAAAATTAGCTCCTATACAATCGATGAGTTTTTTTCTGATCTACATTAGTAAAAAACTTTTTGTATTATTTTTTTTTGCTGCTTTGTTCACTTGTTTCAATAACTCTTGTTATATGAATGTGCCTGTTTTATAGTTGTATGCTATATATGTATCTGATATGTACTGATTTGTTTCTTTTAGGCTCATTCTAATGGATCAATAAAATATTATCATTATTATAGGATTAGCAGTTCTTAAATGTGGTGATTTTTGTTAATATTTTCACTTATCTCAAAAGAAAGAGTTTAGAAAATGCTCATCTGGATCAGTACTTTTCATTTTGTGTGTGATACGTACTAAGAAAGATGAATATATTTGATATAATTTTTTTCTTGCCATTTATCATTCATTGTAATGCACATTTTCATGTATTAAGCTGTGATAACTTTGATTTGACTTCTCAAAGGTTGGAGTGTTATGGCTTCATGCTAAGTTGGTAATTTCAAATGTTTGATTAACAAAATGTGATTTTTTCAATATTTATTTATTCAATATAATCATGGTCAATATACCTATTAACGCCAATATAAAAATAACATCAAGCTTCCAGTAGTTGCAGCTGTTGTATTAAACTGGGCGAGCATTGTATTTGAATTTTAAGGAACTTGAGTAGGTTGTTTTGAGACATTTCTGGGAAGGTTTTTCAATGGTATGACTAGTGACTACAGCAAAAAGCAAGTCTGTGAAACCGATGTGATTATAAATGCCAATTTTTTTTCCGCAGATAAATTATGTAAAAACGTATTCATTTAGTCAAACTGATTTCTTACTACCTCAAACTCCCATTTGCAATTCATTTGAGATATACATTATTAACAGAAAGAACAATAGAGACTAAGGTTTTCTTTAGAATAGGTGTTGACTGATATTGAAGTATTTTCAACTAAAATTGCACTTCACACAATCCTAAGAAGCTCATATTGTGATAAAATCGTTGAAGACTATTGTATTGAGAAGTGAATGAATGAATTATTAAATGCCGACATGATTGTCAGTGCTATAAAATTTGGTCTGACTACTGGAAGTTTTATGGAGTGCATTAAAAATGTCCCGAACAGTACAGCCTGTATTGAGTCATCTAGGTAGCAGAGGTTCCAGTATTTCTTTTTATCAGGTAACTTTGGATTGGTTTTCTAGTCAGCAATTCAGTTTCTTCCAGAACAATTTGAAGTATTTCGTATTTATTCATTGAGTAACACTTTAAATGTTTCTTGTAGTGTTAGAATGTCAACTATTGCCCCTAGTCATTTTTTATTGAACACAATAAATTATAAAATATAAAAAACTACTGTTTTTTTTTTAATATAATGGAAAGAGTAACAGTTTTATCTGACTAGCCGGTAGCGAAATCATTAATCTGTGTAAGTTACTGTTGTTTTATCCCAACACCAAATCGTTATTTTCAACACCTCAACACGTTTCAATCGCCATGTGATAATCTTCAAGAGGAAGATTAAACTCATCACAATTAATCTGTGTGTTGGGTAAAATATATCCCTACTGCAGGTAGGTGATGATTCTAACTTCCCACTTTGAACTTTATTTTTAAAAAGGTAAACAATACAATAATCAATATATGAACCTAATATTGTCAAAATGCCGATTTTTGTAAAGATACCACGGCAGGTTTGTCTGTCTTTCAATCTAAAAATACATACAATGTTCATATTCTCCAAAATAGTTTGCCAAAGCTGAGGCTTAAAAATTAGCTAAATAAATTATTCCTAATGAACACTTTTGTCTAATTTCCAGTAGTTATTCAATTTTTATGGCCGGTTTTGGGTTTGATCCCATCATCGAGTATGAAAATTGGATAAAAATACTTGATAATGGGATAAAACCCAAAAAATTAAAAATGAAATAAAATACCTAGTACAAATTAGACAAAACTGTTTTCACTCATTTCATTGAAGTGATCATGAATTTCCACAAAATAAACAAGTCATCAGTTACACAAATTCACGATTTCCCATTCAAATATTTGCTTACAACTTCAGTGCTATAAGCTATGTGTGTATTCCATAGAGGGTGCTCACGAAAATAGATCCTAAAAATTTTGTATAGTTTCCTATTTTTATTTTATTTCCCAGTATCTTCACCGATGATGAAGTTTAATTTTTTTTTATTTAACACGCTCTTTTTTCAATATTAACACGCTTTTACTGGCTTCACCTGTATGTATGTTTGTTTGCTTGTAACTCAAGATTGGGATCTGTATTATTGCTTGGTCTATTCGCGGGCAGATGGCGCTGTACGTAACGTCCTTGATATAATTCGAAGTTACTTTACATGTATTTCTTCATTTGAAAAAAGTATGTTTTTATTAACATGCGTGACTGCTGCCTTATTTGTAACCCTACTTTGCGCGCCTGCTGTCTTGGGCTTGGTAGCTAATTTTCAGGCTCCTCCTCCGGAATCGGAAAATATCAATGGTCATTTTTCTAAACAAAATACGGCTGATTGACCCCAAAGTTTAGATAAAATAAATATATTTTAAAAAGACTAAAAAACACGCTTTTATAGCATACGAAACTAAAAAAAGAAAAATAAATATAGTTTGAGAAACTAAAAAACACGCTTTTAAAGAACATCAAAATATTAAGTTAATTCTTTTAAAAATAAGCTTAAAACAATAAGGAACGAAAAATACTATTATTATTGTGAAAAAAGCGTGGGAGCTTTGTGCCATATTTTTTTTTGAATATCAAGCGGCCCCCGCTTTTTTCACAATAATACTAGTTTCTTTGTACGTTATTGTTTAAAGCTTATTTAAAAAAAATATTTTCAACCTCTTAGTTCTATGTTCTTCAAAAGCGTGTTTTTTAGTTTTTTAAACTATATTCATTGTTGTTGTTTGAAGAAATTTTTTTATTTTTTCTATATTAAGTTATTATTCCTGAACCAATTTTGTGCAACAGTTACCAACTCATTTCATTTAATTAGGTATGGAAAATGTCTGATAATAACAAATTCGTATCCCCAGCATAATTTATCTGATAAGAATCATTTTTGTCTTTCAAAATTTTTAAAGTTTCATTTACGAAAACAATAGTTTCATTTTAGATTTTTATCTAAGGCAAAAAACAGTTTCTTCTAAATCCTTTCTATTACTTGGAAGAGACAGAGTTTCTGCATCATAGTTTTGCAACTTCCTCAGGAAATCCATAACTGAAGGGGCACCAGCACTCTATCCTGTAGTATCCCATAGTGAATGTTTTAATATAACGGAAATTGAAATAAAATCAGATTTTAAATGCAATTACTTAACATTAATATATTTTCAAGTATATTACACTGAAACATCATCATTCTACATACAATTTCTACAGTAAAGTTTCAGGTTTATGAAGAATTATGCACGTCGGCTTCACGATAAATAAATTTGAAAATTTTGCTCTGATCCTATGTACAGAAAAAATATCACATATTCGTGTTTAAATTTAATTGCACTTGTTGCATAAACTTTATTATATTGTACTTAATTCTTTCAAAACCTGGCTTTTAAAATCAAACGACCTGTGATATATAAAACCCTGTTAGTTTTATTATCTATCATCAAAATTATTTAATAATTACCATCTATTAAAAACCAAACCTATCATCTATGTACTGTACAGAATTGGCTAATTTTCCGTCAACAAAAAATAGTAAATTTTCTTTGATCACACACTTTTGAATTTTTGTACATTATCAGTCGAAAGTTACATATCACTTTGGAGGCCGGATATACCAGATGCTTAAATCTCTAATCGAAATACTAACGCCACAATTCTGTACTGAATACATTTACAATGTGTAAATAACCATAACCTTACTGTAAAAAACTTAAAGAAGTAACTTACGAGACATAGCGATATTCGTCATAAGTTTGGACCACAATGATATTTTTGTTTGTAACGATTATGCAGTTTACAAATTTTTGCGTGAAAAGTCAGATAAATTCAGACTTGGGTGTTTAATTTTGAATCACGATAAAACGAAAAAAGAAAATAACTGAACGAGGAGAAAATCACAATCCAGACAACACCGGATATCCCATGTAATGGATGTCCGTAAGATATCCCTCAGTGGCCTTGGAATGAATGTTCTTCGACACATATCCCATTGATAAGTTGGTGTATCTAGACGACCATAAGACATCCTTCGGACATCCACGGAATATCCATCTCATGTCTCCTTGTGTTGTCTGGAAAGTTTCATATCCAGAAAGCATTGAAACCAAAACTAGAACCAATCGATGAGGAACATGAAAATAAAAAATGCTCACACACATGAAATCTAACGGAAAGAAACTAAGAAAAATTCCAAGCGGAACATTAGACTGAACACCTATAGTTTAAACATGCACATCGAATTTGAGATTAACGATAGATTGTTATTACACGTCCTATACATAACAAAACACACTTCACATCTTGACCACTTTCACTAGAAGAAAATCTCACATAATACATGAAAGACTAATCGCAGAAAGATCCTTTCTGCAATAACCTATTTACAAACCTGCGAAAAGGCATACACAAAAACGGAAAATGAACAAAATGCAAATTTTTAAAATTCATGTGAAACGGTCTGGTCAAATCACATAATTTGTCAAAATCAATGAGCGATATCCTCGGATGGAATTGTTAACGAAGTAGTAGATATACAAACGCTACTTTATTGAATATTTCAATATGCCGAGTAGTGTCATTTTTGCAACAAATTTCCATTGAAAATGGTCGAATCTGACAATTCAGAGTACGAATATATTTTTTAAATCACAGTACCTTTTTTCAAATATATAAAGAATGAAGTATGTGGAACTTTGTTTCCAGAAGTAAAATAACAGAACATGGTTTTTCTTCCTTAAATTAATAATAAAAAATATATTGCAATATTATTTATAAAAATAACTGGAAAAATCAACTTAAAACAGACAACACACTCGTGTTCCAGTCACAACAACTGTAATCACTATAATTCAGTTTAAAAATCAAGATTTATGACATGATGGATTCATATTTTTATGTGATAATTGAAAAATCAAATCCTAATTGAAAATTTAACATGCAGAATAATTTTTTTAAATTCCACCTCAAATTGTCAATCAAACAGAAAGAATTGTTTTTTTCGAAAACAAATTTTTTGGCATTAGTTGAAAAAATATGGTTCTGGTTACGAAAACTTGATGGGAAAGTTGATAGTTGTCTGGCTTCTTTATTTAAAAAATCCTTCATCATTCTTTGGGAGAATATTCATGAAAAATTTTGGTGTTGAGAATTTGGAGACAATAAATTTAAAATACTGAATGTGACCCAGTCTGACAATTACAATTGAAGTCAATCTAATTATGTTTAGAAACCAAGATTAAAGAAACAATTTCATATGTATATCATGAATATGAAAAATGAACAAACAAGATTAGTCAAAATTTGTCTCTTTGAACACAATTTGTTGGCATTTATAATTTGTTGCCTAAGAAAATGCTGGAAAATGGAAATTTCAATCAATATTTTAGACATTTCTTCATTGCCAATCAAAGTTGGCAATAAAAAAGTGTAATTTAACATAAATGTATGAGTCAACAATACTTCTAGATCAATGCTAAAAATGGTTTGAAATTTCGATGTGACAAGAGATACATTGTAACACACAAGAAGGAAAGCTCAACGTCTAAATATCAACTTCTCAATATTCATATATTCATGGAGAATAATCTAACCAGAATTTTTCAGCTGAATATATCGATTAAAAAATTGTCAGATACTTCATTTCAACTGTCCTGACTTGACAGTAGAAAAAAAACTTTTCCAGTGGAAATTTCAATACAAAAATGTACAGTTCTATTATTTCATACGCTAAATCCAAATAACAGGTGGGTCAAACGCTTCGAAACGTTATTCTTTATAGTAAAACTTGGTTTAATTAAAAAAAAAAAAAATTTGGGGTTATAGCAAAATAATTCGAAATTACACATATTTTCCAACCAGACCGCCATTACAAATACTGCCAATTCGTACACGGTCAATTTAAGACCTGAATATTCCGATACGATACGAACCATTTACCACAAATTGATCACCGTCGTGATACGCCGCTGCTAATAGGGAAAACGCAAAAATATTATGAAGCGACCATTCATAGAATGGTCGACATCGGGAACAACTAGCGACACGACTATCCTGTTTCCTATACAGCTAAAATATTCAATAGAATATTCAAGTTTTAAATGCAAGTGTTCATCTGAAATGCATTTTTAACGTTTAAAATTTGTACCATAAAACGTCAAACTATAAGCAACCAACAGTTTTATGCTTATGTACACCTATTAGATAGACATCGCCAATAAAACCTCAGCCCCCCAACTCATTGTTGCAGACTTTTTGGTATCCAATATAAAATTCAGTCGATACATTATAATTCACATAAATATTGTACAATCACAATGACTTAGAAGTTTGTGCGAAAAACATGGTTAAAGCTAAGAATATAAGACTGAGGTACGTTTAAAACAAGAATAGCGAAGTAACTTCAGATAAAATGATTCAACAAGTGAATGAAGCTTAAAAAGGCAAATTCATTGAAGGGTCAAAGATTTTTATCCATACCTAATTATAAAATTAAGTTCAATATGGTGTCGTTTTGCGAATATTCTGTAACAAAATTTAGATTGTTGAATCAATTTTTGTCATCTCGATGTAACTACAAAAAGTTGAATAAAGTTAGAATTTTATCATAAAAATAATTCATTGGATTTCTTCAAACTGAAACTTTTCCAGGAATGCTATATAATTGCAAATCAAGTAAGAATTTATTATATTCTTTACTTACCATATTAGTGACTTTTGAAGTTGACATCAAATCAATAATTCAAAAAATTATAAGCCAAAATTAATACATCTTTCGAATTTTTGCTTGATAACCAGTTTGTCCATCAAATTATAAGCAAAGGGTTACATTATAACCTTTGCCTTATCCAATAAGTATTTTTGAGGTAAAAATGTTGATTCAATAATGAAAAATTTATATATAAATATATGAAGTGTAACAAGAGAAATTTCAATCAAATTTGCAAGTAAAAATTTGAGGAACAACTTAAAAACTGAGACAAAATTTTTTTTGAATATTAACAGTGTGCAAAGAATATTCTTGGAAGTTTTTCGATAAGGCTTTAATTTTTTTTGGGGCGTCAGACATCACCCAAAGCCTTCGCTATTCTCTTCTCAAACGCACAACACGCACCAAATGACAACAAAACGTCCACTTCGCAATATTTTCATCGAGGAACATATGACTATGATACGTACACCGACTGCAACGGAGGTCCTCGTTCACCGCTTAAGGAACTATTTTACATATATGTACAGTGACATAACGAAACGGGACCCCCGCCGCCACCGGCGGACGAACGTTGCCTCGTCGTTGTACCGTTCAAAACGTGCAGGACCGCAAAATGGCATTCACTTGTCATGACAGAAATTATCACAGCAATATATAACTTAAAATTAGAACATATACACAACAAAACGACAAATGCCTAAGAAATGTTTTCCTTCATTAAAAAATTGCTTATAGTTTGAATAGGAAATAAGGAGCTCTTCTTCTTACCCACACCTCTACTACTTCAAGGCACGCCCATAGAATGACTTCAAAACAACTTTCATTTAAACTTTTTGTATACATCTTTTAGCACTGAAGAAGTTTTCGAAACTTCTTCACTTTTCTTTTTTTTTAAATAAACTCTCGAATACTTTCTGAAAGCAGGTTTTCAACAAAAAATATTTTACTGTCGATAAAATGTCATGAATAACAGAACTTAGTTTCGGGGTTTTTTGGAATTGTTTGTTTTTTATTTTTGGTTGGTTCAGAACAACCATCTACCGTTAATCCTATGATGATGAGGTGGGGTTCTACACTCTTAAAACATTCTTATGCGTTCTATTGTGATTCACGTTCCTGAAGAAAGCAGGGGCCAGGGGGTAAGGGGGTCCGTCACATCTATACATCGGACGATTTGGATGGAAGTTGAAGTTCATCTGAAAAAAAAAAAATCAGCGTTAGTTTTCAAATGCATGAATAATAGTTCGATAAACAACCAATTTGCAATCTTTCTGGCTATCATTCGAACTGAAACAATTTGAACTTGATTGAAAACAGGATGATCCAAGATATCACCTATATTACTTTCAGCATTTGGAGTTTCATAAGAAAAACTTATGAGGTTTTGAGGTCACTAATTGATATTATTTTGAATGTATTTGAAATAATTTTTTTGGTGGAGTCTATAGACTCGAGAAGAAAGTGAAAAATTGTTCAAATGTCAATTTATCTGAATCTGCCAATGTTTTGTTTCAGCGACAATTTTTTGTTTTTCTTGTAACTGTAAGATTAACTGACGGAGTACTTGTACAAATAATTTTGATCTCTTTCAATAGGTGTATTTGTTCTGGAGCATAAATTGTTTACCACTTTCACATCAATTAGTTACAGTTTGTTTGAAGGTGGTTGACAATGTTTCATGGTGTATTTCATTGGTTCGAACTTCCATTGTCGAATATGTGTGGCCATTGAAGAAGCTAACAAGAAGCCCCGAGTTTGGTTGCGATACGTGGGCGACACCTTCATAATATGGAACCATGGGGATGCAGAACTAGACACCTTCTTGAAGCACATCAACAACGTGAGTCCTTCCATCACTTTCACAATGGAGAAGGAAGTCCACAACGAATTGCCTTTCTTAGACGTATTGGTGAAGAGGACTGACACTAAATGGGAAACATCTATATACTGAAAATCCACTCACACGGGACAGTATCTGAACCAGGAATCCAACCAACATCAATCGACTAAGAGAGGAATCATCAAGACTATTAGACCGTGCTTTCGGGCTCTGTAATACAAAGGAAGGTCTCGAAAAGAAACTAGGCATCATCAAAAATGACCTTCAACGGAATGGTTACCCCAAAGTGATAGTGGAACAGACTTTAGCTAGAAGAGAGCAAGATCCTCACAAGGAAGAGAAGCCGCCACAACCAGTATTTATACTTCCCTACATCAGAGGATAGTCTGAAAGGATAAGAAGAATTGGGTCCAGATATAACATCAGAACCTGCTTCAGATCTGGGAACACTATCCGTAGGCGTCTCACGAAAACCAGTGTACCAAACGAGGACTGCGATTTCAAGAATTGTATTTACCGTAGAAACCAGCAAATCAGGAATAGCAGAGCATGTTTGGACTCATCAACATAACATCAAGTGGGCTGAAATCGTCTACAAGGAGGAACACTGGTTTAGGAGAAAATTCAAAGAAGCCGTATATATGTTGACTAACAACGCATTTTGCCAAGCTGGCGTAGAGATACGCAACATATGGAAACCTTTAATCAAGCGGAACACGACCAACTCCCGCCAAACGGTCAGCTCCCGCTAAAACCGATAAAGCGGAGAGAAGGAAGAGAGATAGGTGAAAGCACTCGAATGACCTATAAATAGTCAGATTTAGGAGGAATAAGTCTAGTCATCACCCGAAGACGTTTCTGGAAACTAACAAACGAAACGTCGTGAAGTAACTTGGCTTGGAATCCTTTAATTTTCATCTCAATTTTAATTTTTTAAAAATCTTCATCTCGTGTTAATAGTTCAATTTTTTGGTTGTTGCTTGTATTTTATTTCATAATAATTTCAGTTTTTTTGCTTGATATATATTTTTTTAGATAATCTTTCGATTAGTACTGTTAGGGTAAAATTTCCAGTGTAAATAGTAATATTTGTATTAAATGTGGGCTGAATAATGAATAGTTTCCGGAAAAGAAAGACTTTCTACTTCTCCATCTTTATATAAATAAATGTGGGAATCTTCCTTTCTTTCTCAAAAATTAATCTCTCCTAAAAATATAACCCTTTCCTTTCAAACAAAGTTTCCATTTCACAAGATGAATTGCTTGATACCAGTCGATAATTAGGTCAACAATAGCTGTTCAATTAATATCATCATGGATAGCATCTTTTTTTTGAGTTAAAATCTGCTATGAAGAAGTGTTTTTCGTTTGTTCCAAAAACTGAAGCCGAAAATATGAGAACAAATGGTTAAAAAGTTACTTTTTCTTCCTTGAAACTATATTTCCCCTCGAAAAAGGTTAAGGTATTTGGCATAACTGATATTTATTTTAAAATTTCAAGGCTTGGGCTTGGGTTGGTGAAACTTAACTTACAGAATTGGCAGATCAATTCAGTGTTTGCATCTGTTAAAAAATCTGTCTTTGCGTTAACTAGCTGTGGTCCCTTCACGAAACGACAACCCTCAAAAGCCGCAACTTGTGCGAGCAGTGGATCAACGAGGTAATACCTTTTAATGTGCGATTTCTAGCATACATGGTTCAATGTCACTGTACCTTTTAATGTGCGATTTCTAGCACACATGGTCCAATGTCACTGTACTTTTGCGAATGTTACCAGTAAAAAACTGAATTTTTGCGTAGATATTTTAAACCGAAAGTTACTATTAAATAACAGGAAAGAACGGAAATTTCAAATTAGAATTTTTTTAAACGTGTGTCACAAATTGTCACATATTGCAGTTACAACTAAGGACCCTATAAGGAGAAATATATGCATTCGCTGAATAAAATGCCAGTTTATGGATGAATGCCGGATATTTATCTAAATTATCCAAACACTAACTTTTCGTTAACAATGACGACATGACACAAGATAAGATATTCATGTTAACATTTATTTATTTTGCCAGTCAACGGGTAATGAAAATATACACATTTTTATTGCCCAATAAAAAATTGCATGGAACGTTTCCGACTGAAAAAATGTTTATTGACATTATGAAATTAAAAATATATTTTTATTTCATTAGAGTCGAGTCAATAGTAAAAACTGAAGGTCAGGATCATATTAGTGAAAATTCCGCAGACACTGACTGCATTAGAAAATGATGTCAGTGTATATTAAATCCGGCAGTTTCCAAAGACAACTTCCAATGTACCTTCGAAAATAACGTTGGCAATTGATACTGACAAGAAACAAGCAATAGAAAGAATAATATTCGACAGGGCCACAAGATGGCGTTAGCGTCAACGCAAAACTTGGGGAAAACATATAGTTAAGTCAAAGTAAACGATATTGTGCACTCTTGTGGCGAACTAGTCCACATGGACTGTAGACTTGGCAGTTCGTATTGTTTACCAATCGAGTTTTTTTCTGGGCTGGAGAGTGATACAAATAAATTTGTTACGGTGACGAATAGAAATCGGAGAATGTGGGGATGGTTATCGCCGTCGTGATCAGTTCAGGAAAACTGTAAGTGATTTGAGTGTAGAAATTCCATATTGGTGCAGTTATAATCACTTAAAATTTTTGTTATCTGTTTAAAATGTGGCGTCCTTGGACGAGTACTAATAGTAATAACGAGTGTGATAACGCAGACAATGTAATAATTCCAATAGCGATGGTGAACAATGTGAAAAAGAGATACTAGTGAATAAGATTCGGATGCATTTGAATATTGAAACACATAGAGTATGTTTCAATGTATAAGAATCTACATCTCAAGTTTGGTTTCGAGTGAAACAAACTATTACAAGCAACATCAGATTTAACCGAAATTATTTTCTCAACTGTACGTAAAATAGTCAAAAACAAACCTTATGAACGCAGGACGGGATTTGATACAGGATTACCAAAACCTTTAAATGTTCATCTAATAAAATCATTGAAAAAACAATATACCATGTTACAAAAGCAATGAGATTCCTACAACTGAAATAATAAGAAAGAAACTGAATACTTTCGGCCATAACGTTAGCTGCTATGACAAAACTCTTCAGAATTGGATAAAGAAACTAGGATTTAGATTTAAAATAATGAATAAACGTCAAGCAGTTATAGAAAGCAGAAGAATAGTGGAATTGCATAAAAAATACTTGGAACAAATAACTAAATATAGACAAGAACAACGGCAAATTTTCTATTTGGACGAAAATTGGTATGACACTCACGACATAGTTACGAATGGTTCGAGAATGTGTACGCCTAACATGCCTGCAAACAAAAGACCGCGACTAATCATTGTGCCTGGCGGAGGAAGTGAAGGATGGGTTCTGAATTCTTTGAAATTATGTGGAAAAAAACTAGAGGACTGCAATGTTGACTATCATAAGAACATGGAAGCTAATATTTTCGAGGAATGGTTTGAAAACACATTGATCCCAAATTTGGATGCGAATAGTGTAATAGTTCTTGGCAACGCTTCCTATCATTCGCGACAGCTCATCAAAGTACCGATTAAAAATTCGAGATAAGATGAAATACAAAGTTTTTTATTAATAGATAACAATTTGTATTTTGAAGATTACTATACCAAAAACCAACTACTTGAAGTTTTACAAACAAAAACATTTGAAAAAGTGTATGCCTATACTGAGACTTCCCCCCTATTTTTGTGTTTTCAATGCCATCGAGTTGATTTGGGGAAAATTGAAACAAAGCATCAAGCGTAAAAATAATTTTCCAAAATTTGATAAGAAGGTAACAGAGATAATTGAAGAAGTATTATACCGAAGAAGACTGACAGAAAAGGATTAAAAAAGTAATTTTAGTTGAAAAAGACTAAATGGAGATTGGACACTTCCATATTTAAGGTGGAAATAAATTCATTATTGATTTGAATGACGACTGTGATAGTAGAACAGAGAATATGGAGAAGACAACCACAAATTGATAATGAACCATCGCAGGTAGGAGAACCGCCAGAAGCCATTAACAACCCTCAGGTAGAAAAACAGATAGGAGAACTGCCAAAAGCCATCAACAACCCTCAGGTGGAAAAACAGGTAACAAATCCATACAACTTACGCAAGCGAAACCATATAAAACACCACAAGAAGAACCTAACATCAGTTACACCTCTCGAAGCGAAGCAGTAACTCGTCTTGATAATGCCATCTGAGATGATGGCGAAACGTCGACTATCGAATAGTACACAACGGATGAACACCCGGAAAAACAACACATCATATTCTACCATCCGTGAAAACCTACATTGTAATATATATGTTTATTGAATAACGAATTTAGCTCCCTAACTATATTATTAAAGGGGAACTGTTGGAAGGGTAGGTGTTCCACTATATCTTTTACTTGAACTATACCTAAGTAGACAAACTTTCCAGAATTACGGTATTGTAAACTACAATAATATATTAACCTACGCACTTACTCACCTCCCTAGGTGAAGTTTTCACCCTAAACGACGGCATGGTCACGTTACTCGAATGATTTCGGTATTTACTGGGATACTCCACCGAGTTGTTGTACCTCTGGTGCGACGTTCTTTGTACTTTCCTGGGTTTCTCCTGGTGGGGCGTCGACGGTGGCGAATTCGACATCGTCGGCGTCGACCTAGCGCTCTCCGACGACGATTCCGAAGAAAAAGTTGCTAGGGTACAGTACGAACCTTCTGATTCGCCGAGTCTGAAACAAAGAACAAAAAAAACTTAAAAAATGCCACAGAGTTATAAAATTTCGTAGCTGGACAATAACTGCAGCAACAGCATTTTACAATACGAATCTTTGTTTTCCCCCATCGATAATGCTAGAGTCGTACACCGAGAGATTCATCATAACCCAGCGGCGACTCCAAAACCTTAAGCTGGTGTCACACTATGCGTTTTCACACTTGCGGTTGAAATGAATGCGTTTCAAACTAATCGACTCGAACCCGTCAAGATGAAAAAATGATAAAAATATATTGGTAGCAGTTCGTATAAGGGAGGTTGAGGGCACCAATGAATCACCAACACTTGGTGTATCTATTCTCTCACCGATTCAATGAAAATATTTGGCGATTCAAAACTTTTTCTCTTGCATTTTCATCACTGTATTTTTTTGTATCATCTCAAAGTGTATACTTCTACTAAATGCAACTGATGAATTTATCCGTGTGGAATATTGCTGCGTTTTAATAAGAAATTTGTCTACTTTCATAAAAACCAAAGTTAGGTTCAATGTAAGGAGATCTATTCAACAATAAACCCTTGCAATACGCCAGTGTTCCCTGTAGTCGACTGAATGGACCAAAATAGTGAAAGGAGGATTAGGATAACCCTACAGCGACTGCTCTGATCCTTAAGGCGGGTTTACACGGTGCGACAAAACGTGACGACTTGTCCGCAGCGATAAGTCGTTACGTTTTGTCGGCGGTACTGTTTACTGTGTTCCGTCACTTCCAACTTCGCCACCAACTTCAATTGAAGTTGTTTAACGATCAGTGGGTGTCATCCATCTAGAATGGTAACTGAATCAGGTGTACTACTAGAAATATAAGAGAGACTAATGAAGGGTGATAAGAGGAGGTTCAACAAATCTGAATATACGCTAGACTTTATAAGACATTCCCGAAGGGACCCCAAATCTTAATATAGAAGTCTGAATCGACTTTAAATTCCTACACGATATGTGATACGCCTTCAAAAAATGCGCGTTGATTACAAAAATAAAATCCTTGAAATGAAACAATTTCAAGTACGAATGATCAACTCGAGTTTTGAAAACATTATGTGGCACAAACAATGAACAATATAAATCCCCGATCAAAAAGGTTTGTTATTCATGGTTATTTGTCCACGTCCAATTCTGTGAATTACAAACGTGCAGTTAATGAGTAATGACAACATGTTGAACCAATGAATACATTAACAGTTTTTATAAATAATAACAGTGTTTGTCATATGTGGGAGCTTTTGTCACACAAACATACATTCATACATTTTTTCAAGAATGTGGAGTGCTGACATTCCATTTTCTAATTCACTTTGAAGCTGTCACGTTTCATATTTCTATCTTGAATGAAATTTTTATCAAAAGTAAAATGTTTCTAGATAATTTTCAAAGTTAATATTTCACTTTTTTATTTTTCTAAGAATCATAATCAATAACACGAAGATCGAATAATTTTTAGAAAACGTTCTACTGGCATAATTTGCAGATTTAGCCGAAAAGTTGATATATTCGACTCAATACGTCTAGACATTCATCTGGAAGACATTGCATATTAACAATAGGTACTACTGATATATCAGAAAATTTTAACGTTTGAAAGCGTTAATCAGATAGTTACCGTGCCAATAAATACCGAGTACTACAGAAATCACAATTTCAAGGTATTCATTTCGGAGGCTCCAGAGTTGATAGTTTTCAAATGTAGTAATTAAGTAAACAATTTCTTTCATTTTAGGTGGTTCTAATTTTTGACATAGAAGCCATGTGGAAATGATGAGCTCTACCGAATGGAGACATAGAAGATATGGTGGAAAATTATTTATTAACCTTCCCGACACAGGAAGACAAAAAATTAAGATCATACATACAGACATACAAACAACGCAACGGCTTGATATCCAAAAGAAATTGCAAGATTTTCAAAATTAACAACCCACAAGAATTTACTGAGCATTGTTTTTGCAGAATTCTGCTATATTTTCAGTGGATTCTGGGGCAGATATAAGCACATTAAAAAGGCATGGGGGTTGGAGATCACCAACAATAGCCGAAGGTTGTAGCTGCAAGAACGAATGTTAGTGAAAGACTTTTTTCAAGTCCCAAAAAACAAAATATAGTCAGTTGTAGCAAGCAGTACTTCACATATGAATAAAAATAATTATAGGCATATTATAGATATTGAAAAGGTCACTTCTATAATAATCGATTAATGTCACTAAAATTGATGTTTAATGCCAATCGAAGAAGATGATTATTTTTTTATTGGAACTTTATTCTATCATGGACCTCTTTTTTCTTAAGTAAACAAGTGCAGAAAAAATATTTCTACGATATCTCCGTTACAATTAACAGTAGGTACGATACAATAAATAATCAACTTCATTGGTTATCATAAAATTTTCTAGAAAAAAGTTCCGATAATTTTTTTCGTATAATACGTTTCTCAACAATTCACATTATACTATACAGGGTGGCAACGAAATTATTGTTGTCCAATGCGCCATTCAATTGTTGAGGCCGATACTTTTAACAAAGCATCAACTCAACATTTATTTCGGTTCAACTGTATCAAGTAAGGATTTTTGAACAGAATCCTACATGATTTTCAAGATCAACGATGTAAGATAAGAATACATTTATGGGTGATTTCGACAAACAAAAATTTGAGTCGTCAAAACAAGAAACATTTTGAAGACTTTGTATCCCGTCGGCACGCAGAAAGATCAAAAGGTTTTGGTAACATTATTACTTTATTCAAAATGTTGATCTGTGGTGAGTATAAATTTTATTGTCGGCACTGGGCAGGCCATTTTTATTGATTTGTTGAATTGTTGTTTATTTCAAACAAGAATGAGATTCAATTTTTCTTTCATGAGCAAAAAAAGCAACAGACAGTTGAAAAATGTAGCTTGATTGCTGTTCGTCTAGTGGAAACGATAGAAAACAGTTCACATCAAAACATGCGATTCAGGCTAGTTTTTGTCTGTTTGGTGGAATTCGAGGTTCGATTTTGTTTTCGGAACTAAAAACAAGTTTTTTTGTTTCTGTTTTTGAAAACAAAACTAGTCGCAAGCGAGTCCGTTTGGTGGAAATCCGTCCTGAGAGATATATCGTTTTTTCCCGTAATTCTAATGAAAAATTATTTAAAAACTAGCATGAGTCCAAGAAACGGAATTTAACCGAAACTTTCCACAAAAATTTGCTGGGCATCATTAGTTTTCCCAAACTTGCACAAACTTTGCCAATCCCTACAAAACTTCTAACTACTCAAACTCACTTCTGACCTATTAAAAGGTCAACCTGACGTAAATCAGGGGTAACGTTTATATAATCTGCTTAAAATCATTCCAACAATATCCAATAAACTCCAATAAGACTAATCCGTAATCGGAATCGAAACGTTGCGAAATTTTTTAGCTGCATAACGCTAATTGCAGAAAATCGTCCGCTTTCTAAAAGTAATTCAGTGGGATTTATATAAAAAAAAAGGAAAAAGGAAACACAAGACACTCTCATCAATTCCAAAGCAGATGCTCGTTAAATTTGTTTTGGTGCAGGGCACTGACCCCAGTCAACTAACTAACGACAATGACGTCACGGGAAGATAGGCTTATCGAAAAATATACTTCAAAGGACACAGCAGAGTTCAACGAAGCGCTTTATCCTTGTTATGTATGTGAGGCTTCTAATGTGACTGCGGTTCGGTTCATTAAACTGTCTAGTCACGGGGTATCATTTTTCAGATATTCAAGTGAAGGCCAGATTTTTAAAATCCAACACGAAACCAAATATACCAGATACAGAGTAGCTCGAACACAAACTTTTCAGTTTCTTGTGGTTTTGGTTTCGAGGGGAAACGATATTCCGCGTATTCTCATCCCCATCATTTTCGACCCTAGCGGGGTTCATTCCCAACCCCTAAACCTTCAACGGTAAAAAGGGGTCGCGTGTGAATAGACACAAAATTACCTTTTTGATGATTACCCTACTTGTTGGATTTCACAACAGCTACAATCAATCTATTTAAATTATATGCTTCAATAAAACCTCAGAAGCAGATATCTTCATCGAATTAAAGTTCCGTACATTGTGAAAGCTATTTTCCCGGTTTGTGAGACTACATTGTCAAGAGGTAACGGATGAAGTGTTTGTGTATCCGGTTTTATCAAATAGTGTTTAATTTAAATTACCTGATACGCGTGCAATTAACTATAGGTAGCCAGCCCTTATTGATGGTAATTTCTTCTTCAGAATTATCCCAATCCTGTCCGTAACATACAATACATTTGGAGTTGCTTTGGGTTGCAATTTCATATTATAGGTACTATGGTTGTGATGGTCTTAACTGCGCGTTTGCTCAATAACTGCCAAAGCTAGTGAATTTCGTTGTTCATCTAATGATAGTTACTCACCAAAGTTTCACCCATTTTTGACGCGCAGGAGGGTACGTATAGCGCCATCTACCCGCGAATAGATCAAGCGATAATGTCGATAATTTCGTCAAATACAGATCCCGAACTTGAAAGTTACAAACAAACAATCATACATACGGGTGAAGCTAATAAAAACGTGTTAAAAAAGTATCGAGAAGGAAGAAAAAAAACAAGCAATCAGTAACGTTTGACAGTGTTGACCAACAAGACCCAGGATAAATTAGTTCCGATCTCGTTTCAAACACGATACACCGAAATTGATAAATTTAAAATCTGAAAAACGTAATGTGCATGCTGCAGACCCTGACATACTTACAGCATTTGCTGGAACTCTAAAAACTGTATTGAAAGTTTTAAATTATATACCCTCTGACCACGAAATGATTGAACTCGGTATGGACTGCCAGCAAAAAAGTCTACAAGACAGCTGCGTCAATTATCGTAATAACATATCTGTCCTGGTGAGATGAAGACTTTGGGTTCTTGGAATCTTCAAAAAAGACTTGCTTACCAACCCGGATACAACAAATCAATATTGAA